ATAATGAATAATCTTTAAAACCATTTTATTTTTTAAAAAAATAAAAAATACAAATATATGAATATATTTAAGAAGTATAAGACTTAGGGGTTGGAAAGATGGCTCAGCAGTTAAGAGCAGTGGCTGCTCTTGGAGAGAACCTGGGTTCAGATCCCAGCACCCACATAGTAGGCAACAACTGCCTGGATTTCCAGTTTCAGGGGATCTGACATCCTCTTGTCCATTTTATTTTTTAAAAAAATAAAAAATACAAATATATGAATATATTTAAGAAGTATAAGACTTAGGGGTTGGAAAGATGGCTCAGCAGTTAAGAGCAGTGGCTGCTCTTGGAGAGAACCTGGGTTCAGATCCCAGCACCCACATAGTAGGCAACAACTGCCTGGATTTCCAGTTTCAGGGGATCTGACATCCTCTTGTGGACTCTACGGCCACAGCATCCATGGGTACACTTGCACACATGCAGGCAAAACACTCATATACATAAAATAAAAATAAATAAATATAAAGTTTTTAAAAAGAAGTATAAGACCTAGGTTCAGTGTTATAGTTCTTCCATGGCATATGGAGGCCCTGGGTTATAATCTCGTCATACTCCCCACCCCGTCACCAAACAAAAAAGACTCATACATTGAAACTAAAAACATCAACCGAAAGAAATTAACAAGCCTAAACAATGAAAGTACACCACATATGCATGATTAGAAACCTCTGGTGTTAAGATGTGATGCTTTCCAAATGATCTACAGGTTCAACATTACAATCTAACAAAAGCAGCTTCTTTTCAGAAGCATGAAAAACAATCTTCAAATATACATTAAAACTGCAAGGGATTTCTGAACAACACTGGGCATGATGGTGCATGCCAGTATTCAAAACACACGGGAGAGTGGAGACAAGGGAATCAAGAGTTAGATACCAGTCTAAGTTAGAGGGCAACCTGGGCTACATATGCAAATCTGTCTCAAAAAAGATATTCATATGGAAGCACAAAAGACCTCGGGTAGCCAAAGCAACCCTGAGCATTAAGGGATTTCTGAACAACACTGGGCATGATGGTGCATGCCAGTATTCAAAACACACGGGAGAGTGGAGACAAGGGAATCAAGAGTTAGATACCAGTCTAAGTTAGAGGGCAACCTGGGCTACATATGCAAATCTGTCTCAAAAAAGATATTCATATGGAAGCACAAAAGACCTCGGGTAGCCAAAGCAACCCTGAGCATTAAAGAGCAATGCTGGGGGGGATTACTATACCAGATATTAAACTGTATTACAGAGCTATAGTCATAAAAACAACATGGTACTGGC